TTACGTTACTACTAGTACGAACGAAAGTAACATAAAAGAAAAGTAAAGGTAAAGGGAACGGTACGATAGCGACGAAACTAAGACTAACACACACTTATCTATACTACTCTCTCTCTCTCTCTCTCTCTCTCTCTCTCATGCTTATACGCTCATGTGCGTTCATATATGAGATATCAACTCAACCACCACTGTCACAATAATCAGTATCAGAAATTCATCAGAAAGACTTTGGAGGCATGGAAATTATTAACTACGCATTTCAAAAGGCAAAAAAGTCATAGAAATTCCTTGTTTTAACCAATCTAGCTCATATATATGTCTCAGATAATTTTCCACTTTTTATTTTTATTTTTTTACGAGTGAGTAGATTTTGAACTTTTTTTGTTTCTTTTTTCTTATCAGTGAATTGATGTTCTTCAAACCAATTTATTGGGCCTCCTGATTAATTATTAATTATTCATATATCAGGTTTTTTCAAAGGGTGAGCTTGGTATAAGTTGCCCACCTTATACTATACAACTAAAGCACACTTCTGAATTTTCCCAAAAGATGTGGTTCCAGTTTCAGAGCCTTTAAGATGGCTTAAAAATCCTTGTCCAACATTAATTCTAAAATTTACAATTCTAAAAATGGCGCAGATTGAACAGAACTATAATAACTTGTTACAAGATGCACCATTTTTATGACGTGAAATTCTTTTCTTTTCTTTATATTTTACAGATTTCAACATTAAGATGATCTATTGGAAGGCTTTCCAACTTCAAAACACTCTTTTCCAATGAATTTTTGAAGTGCGCCTTACTTCTATAGTATAAGGTTGCAACTTCACAAAAACTTTTTGCTATCCCTAATGTCATAATTTAGGCAATTTAAACAAAGCAGAAAATTATAATAGGAAAACTATCTTCTAACACCCTATTTTGAAGTTTCGTTTCCCAATAGACCCAGGGTTTGAAAACGTTTCTGGCGGCATAGAGATCCCACAAAATATATATTCTAACACTTTGGACAACTTTACCCTTTTTGACCACATATTTTTAGCCCAAACAATATTAAGAAAGATGCTCGCGTCTATTCCTTTTTAAATCCCTCTCTCTCTAAAATGTCCAAGCTTTGTTTCTTTGGAATTGGATTGTAAACTTTTTGAAGTAATTTAAAGTTCAAACAATTTGTGCTGAATGGTTCTAGAGAGAGAGACTTGTTATAGAGAGAGGGATTTAGAAAGGAAGACATGCATCTTTTCTAATATTGTTTGGGGTAAAAAGGGGTAAAGTTGGTCTAGGAGGTTAGAAGATATACTTTGTGAGATCTCTATGCCACCCGAAATGTTTTTAAACCCTGGGCCTATTGGGAAATGGAACCTTCAAATAGGGTGTACAGAAATATTTTCCCAACATAATAACCATATTCCAAAGCAAGAACATTCATTACCTTGAGGGCATTCTGGATGATCTGAACTCCAATCTTCTGGTCAAAATTAGCAGTTTGAAGCTTTTCAAGCTCCTTTGTAGCATAAAGAAGTGCAACGCCACCACCTATAAAAAAATAATTGCCGCAAGCTATGTCACACAGTTTTGGGTATTTCCACAACAGAAGAAAAGAATCTAAGACAAAAGAGAAGGATACTCAGGAAAAGGAGAATAGGAGTGAAAATGGCAATCATAATTACAATTAGATCTCATCAAGAAAGTGAACGAATGAAGCAAAAAATAAATAAAGATAAAGGTAAAGGTAAGTATATTATAATCAAATTGACTATGTTACTCAAAAGACAAATTCCAATCAACTACTGGATCCATAATCCATAAGCATAATTATGGGAACCACAGTTCATCACGATAACCCTGTTCCACGACACACTAGACTGATGGATGCCAGACTCATGTGCCTTACAATTAGGTCCCACTCACCTATCACTGTCCCACTTTCATTTGACAGTGATGACCTGATGGATTATGAGTGTACCATAATCTAACATATTCCAATATACTTGCCTGAAGAGATTGACATGACAAGAAATAAGAAATATGACTGATAACTGTTCATTGGAGAATTGCATGCATTTTCATGGTTTTTGCAATCTCAAGCAACCTGATAAATTAAGATCAGAAAAGCAAATATAGTAATGCCAAATATATAGGTCAATTGGGAAGATAATGTTGCACTAGAATAACCAGAATCCAAACCCATGCACTTAAACCAAAAAAATTCTAGTACCAAGAGGTATGAAGTAGGGGATACAGGAATGTGGCTTGATGGTCGCCATGTAGACAAACAGCACAACATGACAATTAGGATCTCACAGCTAATCTAACACAAAATTATTTTGTTTGTGGGGGGGAAGAAAAAAGAAAAATGTTTAATACAATGGCATACCTGGTACAATGCCTTCCTCTACTGCCGCTTTGGTAGCATTAAGAGCATCTGTAACTCTATCCTTCTTCTCTCCGACTTCTACTTCACTTGCTCCACCAATCTACAAAGCAATAACTAGTTCATTTCAAGCCCTTTTTTTTAAGGATAGTTCAGTGGTAGGAATCGAACTTGAGACGTAATGTTGCAAACATCAGCTGCTCCACTGAAGCCCAAGCCCGATTCCTTCTTCTTTTTTAAGTCCTTCTATGGGGATGAAACACCATAACCTAGGAAATGGGTCTGCTTATTTAGGCTGCAAGATCATATTTCCAGCCAACTGGTACAAAAATGGAAGGAACTAAACTTTGAAAGAAAGGAAATCAACATACAACCCAAAGAAACTATGGAATGTTCTCTCTCTCACACACACACACACAAAAAAAAACCCTAAAGAGAACCCCCACAACTTCAATAGAGATAGCAGTGGTTCTATTTGCAGTAATGGTTCACAATATGGTGGTTTCTTCTGGAACTAATGACAGGCCAAAAGATTAAGAAATTTATGCAACCTTGAGAACAGCAACTCCTCCTGAAAGCTTTGCCAATCGTTCTTGGAGCTTCTCCCTATCATAATCCGAAGTGCTCACTTCAATAGCAGAACGCAGCTATTACAGACACGAAATGTCAGAATTGCAGTACAACCCACAATTTAAAGAATGAAATTCAATAAAAAATGGCATGCAAAAAATGAAAGAGAACATATAAAAAACTTTTTTTTTTATAATGTACATATAAAAAACTTTTAAAAAGAAGAATATCAATGGACCTGCTACTTCACTTTTTTAGTACGTTTGAGGAATTTTGAGAAGAACCAACCAACTCAGAAGAAACAAACTAACATAAATTTCATTTAAGATTAAAAAAAAAGGATCAGTCTTAAACAGCTGGGTTGGTTATCCTGGAAAACTGAACATCTAGAAGAAAAAAAATTATAGCATAAATATCTCCGAAACAGTGGAACACAAATTCCTGAGACAACCAGATCTTAAATCTTTCTATTATTTCAGGTTAAACTGATCCAAATAAGTGAACCCACTGGCTAACGAGCGGCTTCAGCCAGTTTAACTGCTACATATCAATGTAGATACTGATCATGAAAACCTCAGCTTAGCATGAGTATGGGACAAACCTGCTCACATCTTTCTTCAATCGCTTTTTTGTCCCCAGCTCCATCAAGAACAACAGTATCATCCTTTGATACAGTTACCTAGTAATAAAAAAAAAATCCACAACAAGTTTATTATTGTGAGCCAATATAGTCAACCTGCACTGAACCAATTTCTTAGATGAAATTAAATACCACAAGCATATATAAAGACGAGCTGAGGATTGAATAGAAATCAAAGTCCCTAACTCGCTTACTCAATCAGTGTGATTCTCAGCAGATTATAAATGCAAGAACCAAACTGGGAAAAAAGGTATTGAAGATTCTCTCGAGGCACTGGATGTACAACTTCATAATAGCAAGCTCAATACAATCTAGTATACCTTTTTAGCGCTGCCAAGCATCTTCAAGTCCACCTTCTCAAGGTTCAAGCCAAGCTCTTCAGTGATGACCTGCAGAAGGAGAAATATACCACATAAGTGAATCATGTCAAAGAAACCCAGCAGCGAAACTTGATTAATAACTTAAAAGACTTAGAGAGAGAGAGAGAGAGAGAGAGAAAGAGAAAGAGAGAGAGAGAAGGTCTAACCTCCCCCCCAGTAAGTGTAGCCAGATCCTGCAGATAAGCTTTTCTGTTCTCTCCAAAACCTGGTGCTTTAATGGCACACACCTGAATAAAGATAAACAAGGAAGCATAATTAGCTCCATGACAAACCTTGAAAATAAAAATGCCAGCAGCATGTGAATTGCACGAAATGAGGAAGAAAAAAAATAAGAAAATAAGAATATAGAGAAACAAATGACATAACTTAATACTGTTTTCTTATGAATAGGTGTGCTACACAATTGTACCTTCACACCTGCACGAAGCTTATTCAGAATAAGGGTGGCTAATGCATCACTTTCTACATCTTCTGCAACAATCAGTAAAGGTCTTTGCTTCTGAAAAAGTAAAACAATAAATGGTTATATGCAGTACATTTCAGATTTTTATGCAATAGATTAAAAGTTATTCACCAATAACATAATCACAAGAACACCATGAACCTCCCATGTAGAAGTACCTTCAAAGCCAGCTCCAATACTTTGACAACTGCATTAATGCTCGATATCTTCTTCTCATGTATCAAAATGAGGGGATCCTCAAGTTCCTGCAAGAATGTCAAAATGAGTAAATTGTACAGCACTAGTGCCTAACATTAGGAAAGCACCAAGGCAATAATTATTTGAAGAGACAAAAAGAGAGGGAGGGAGGTAGATGAGTTGAGAAGAGGTGCTTGACTAATGCATTTGTCTGCTATGATTATGAAATGTGCATTAACGTCACTGCTGTATAGGAAGACAGAGAAATTTAGCAAGATAAGACTGAATTACTAATAGGCTTTGGACTTACACATTTTTGAGTCTTTTGATTGGTTATAAAATATGGTGAAATATAGCCCCTGTCGAGCTTCATTCCTTCAACAACCTCCAATTCGTTAAACAGTGTCTTCCCATCCTGCATTGGTGGGCCAATCATAACTAAGAACTAAAATCTGAACAAAGGACAACACGTAGAAGCCTCTCCAAGCATTAATTGACCCACAAGAAACGCCAGAGAAGCAGATCAACAGTTAGCTTACCTCAATAGTAATGACTCCTTCTTTGCCAACCTTTTCCATTGCCTTTGCAATCAACTCCCCAATTTCCCTTTCACCATTTGCCGATATGGTACCTACCTGTTTAAAATGCATTCACAGGCAAAAAAGGGCAAAATCCAGAAGAAGACAAGTTAGGGAGAAGGATATTCCAAATACTTAGACAATATCCAGAGCTCTTCAAATTTAAAAGGATTGATACCAATTAGTCTCCACAATATGACTTGTTTAAGCCTAAACCGTTGCCAAAATTTGGATGAGGAGAATCGCATGAGCCAAAACAAGAAAGCACTGAAAAATTATTTATGACATCCATTAACCAAAAGTACACACGTAAGGGGAATACAAAAACCAACGGAAAATAGCTCAGGCAATATCACTCAGTTTTTTAGTTTATTAATTTTTCTGTTTAATATTTGAGTCACTTTTATATTAAACAAAATATCAAGAACAAATCATTTTATGCTGTAAATGATTGCTTGAGTACTTAAAGGCATGCAGTGAAATATGGGGAAGTCAAAAAAGTTCAAGTTGTATCCCATCAAGGAAACCAAAGGAAAGTATGACCTACAGTGATTGACTTCAGATCAAGCCGTAATTGCTACAAAGGAGCCTGGATATGTTAATGTTTTTAAAGAAACAACCTCAAAGGAAAGTCTTCATAATAAGGCAATCATGATCGATAATTAATCACTACAACAATAAATCACCATGGCTTGGTATCTTCATGATATATATAACTAATCATAGAATCCAGCATGGTTGTCTGAGCACCTGTGCAATTTCCTCAGATGTGCTGATCATTCTAGCCCTACTCTTTAAGTTGGTTACAACAGCATCTACTGCCATAGAAATCCCACGTCTTAAGTCCATAGCATTCATGCCAGCTGCAACTGATTTACAACCTTCTGAGAATATTGCTCGGGTAAGAATTGTTGCACAAGTGGTACCTGCAGGCCAAAGACATACACATATAAAAAAGCAGTGAGGAACTATACTCTCATTGAAAAGACATCTAATTCAATGTATATGGCAAAAATAAAAAAAGACAGATGGAATATGATATTTATCAGAATTGAATGCAAAGGGCCTCAACCACTAAAAGTGTTCAAATTTATGTAAAGATTGTTATTGAATAACTCAAAAATGAAAAGAATGGAAGAAACATAAGCTTGCCTACGCGCATGCATACACACACAGAGAGGGGCGCCGGAGAGGAAGGGAGGGAGGGAGGGGGGTGGAGAGAGAGAGAGAGAGAGAGAGAGAGAGAGAGAGAGTAGTATACAGAAGTAATAGTAAGTAGTACGTAAGGTAAAGGTAAAGTAACTACTACTACTAACCTAACTACGTACCGACGACGTACTACTACTACTTT